ATGCTGCCTTCACGTGCTATCGGAAATGTCCTATTTCCCACTTATGAAGTCGTGATTACGAGCTTGTCATATTCAAGTGCTTTAATGTCGGAAAGAATAAAATGTAGCATCCCATTGGTTGACAATCATATAAACATTCACCGCTCTATACATGCAGTTTGCTGACAATTCTGGAATTTCGGTCAAATACATGCTTATTTCACTGCTTATAAAACATACAATATGCTTCGAATGATCGTTCATATCTAGCCTATAAATACACTACTTTAGACTACAAGACAAAGGGATGTAGTTGTTGTGAGAACAGCATTGACAGCAGCAATGGTTGTCCCCTCCACCATGTTTAAAGATTATGACCCGCCCAACTCGGAAACTGGTATCAAAATTATTTCGGAATTTCCAAGTAGTAAATACGTCTTGAGAGGCATTCACGTCTAATTTCCGATTAGGAAACTCGTATTTACAATAATTCCGATAGCACGTGAAGGCAGCATTATTACATCCAAGTGAAGGATGTAATACCAACATGTCAGAAAAAAATTAAAAACTAGAATCACTGAGTTGGAAAAAGAATCACCCCCTCCTAAAAATGACTTGTAAACTCAATCAGGTGTAGCTAATCACCTTCTCAATGGCATACAAAGCCAGACTTTCAACTGTGATCAGCTGTGATCATTTTGATTAGCTCAGCATGAAAAGAGCTTTCGTGGATCTTTTCAGTCCATGGTAGTGCAACGGAAGCAAACACTCAACTATGTGAAGTCGTGGCCTAATGGTTAGAGAGTCGGACTCGAAACCCAAAGGTTGCGGGTTCGAGTCTCGTACCGGCAGGGCTGCTCCCCGGGCGCCGCAGCATAAATGGCTGCCCACTGCTCCGGGTGTGTGTTCACGGTTTGTGTGTGTTCACTGCTGTGTGTGTGCACTTTGGATGGGATAAATGCAGAGCACTAATTCCAAGTACGGGTCACCATACTTGGCCACATGTCACGTCACGTCACGTCACTTTTAAAAAACTATGGGCACCCATCAAAAGATCACCCGGATAAAGCTGTGGACAGGCGCAAATCAGGAGATGGATACAAAAAAATTATTTATTAAGAAATTGAAGGTAATTTTTTCAACACAGACCCTCCCTGGATCAGGACGTCGTTCCAAACTGGATGAAAGAGCCAGGAGGAAACTGGTCAGAGAGGTTACCAAGAGACCTACAGCAACTATGAAACAGTTGCAGGAATTTATGACAAAGAGTGGTCAATGTGCGCATGTGATGACAATATCACAAATGTGGCTTGTATGGGAGGGTTGCAAAAAAAAAAGCCACTCCTCAAGAACGGCCAAATGCAGTCACGACTGAGCTTTGCCAAAACGCACCTTGAAGATTCTGAGACAGATTAGAATAAAATTGAATTATTTGGCCTAAACACCAAAGGTTATATCCAATACAGCTCACCATCCAAATAATACCATTCCAAGCATGGGTGTGTTTCTCTGCAGCAGGGACTGGGGCACTTGTCAGGATAGAAGGAAAAATGGATGGGGAAAAATACCGTCAAATTCTTGAGGAAAATCTGCTGCCCTCTGCTAGAAAGTTGTCAATGGGAAGAAGTTTTACCTTCCAACATGACAATGACCCAAAGCACACAGAAAAACTGAGCACACAGTGGTTGAAGGAGAAAAAGGTGAATGTCCTTGCATGGCCTTGTCAGAGCCCAGACTTAAAGCCCATTGAAAATCTGTGGGATGACTTGAAGTCTGCAGTCCACAACAGGTCACCATCAAATTTAATTGAATTTGAGCAGTTCTGCAAAGTAGAGTGGGCAAATATTCCAAAGTCTAGATGTTAGTAGAGACATATCCCAACAGACTAAAGGCTGTAATTAAAACAAAAGGTGGTTAAAAAAAATAAAAAAAAACTTACACAAGGGTTGATCCTTTTTCCAACTTCCAACTGATTCTGTTTTTTTTATTTTTTTCTGATATGTTGGTGTTATATTGTTCACTTCGATGTTATAAGTTGCACTGAGTAAATACAGCTGGATAAAACAAAAACTGTCCGTCTTAATTTCAGGCTGCAAAGCAGCAAAATGTGATTATTTTAAAGAGGGTGGTTCTTTTCTATACCCACTGTACAATGTCAGATTCCTTAATACATGTTTACAAGTACCGGTAATAGGGCAATAAAAACCAACTAGCAACAAGTGAGTTGAATATCAAGCTAATTTACCATATTTTGTGAACAATGAAAGTAATATATTTATCATACTTCCAATCTAGCAGACAGCACTGAATATGTACTCCAACAGCCTGTCAAGTTTTTGTTTGTTTTCCAAAGAGCTCGAGAGGAAGCTGTCTATTATTTCTGTGCACTTTTCTGGCAGGGGGTGACAATTTGTCTAGATGCCATGATGCAAGCCTTTCCAGCCACTGACTGTCTCCAGAAAACCCTGAAGCTCTTTTACTCGCCCATTTTTCGTCTGAGTGAGGCAGGTATTCCTATTGGCCCCAACTCCTCAACTCCTGCCTCCTCTAAACACATGCTGCATCTGTACACCACGCCAGCACCTGTCTATCAGGTAGGTGGGAGATGAATAGAAATTTAACATGATATTTAGTGATAATAATAGCCAGAGGTGTAATGAGTACCTGAAAACCATACTTGAGTAAAAGTACAGATACCTAGCAGTTAAAATTACACCATTACAAGTTACAAGTCACCAATTCCAAAACAACTTGAGTAAAAGCCTTACCCCCCGTTTCACAGACAAGGCTTAAGCTAGTCCCAGACTAAAATGCATGTTTGAGCTGTCTCAACTGAAAATATCTTGCTCTGACATATCTTAAAATATGTCAGTGTCATTGTTCTGTGTCAAGATGCACACCTGTAATGTTTTCTTCCAAGGCATTTTTGTAAAAGTTGCTTAAATATCTTAATTTAACTAAGGCCTAGTCCTGGCTTAAGCTAAGAAACTTGTAGTGTTTAGTGAAGTGAAGTAGAGAGTAAAAGTTGTTAATATTCTTGATACTCAGTAAAACTACACAGCTCCTCTAACAAGAGTAAAAACACATTACAATAAATGTATTTATGCTAAATACAGTGCCACACGTTGTCAAAACTATCTCAGTACACATGGATCCACGAAAACGGCTAAAAACGCTGTATTATGTTATTATCAGGCCAGTAGTTGGCGATGTCACTTTGTAAAGATACACCATGCGCCTGGGCACATATCTGTACAGTAGACGTAATACACATGCACATAATGTCAGCGTTTTCACAATTTTGCATTTTTATAGTTTACACAGGGACAATAACATCTGATAATTGTTTTCAAAAATTTGCACTTTGAAACCCATTTTCAAAAGTTTGTGTTTTTAGACCCCCAAAATGCTGTTGTTGTGTAAGTGAACGACCAAAACGCATAAAACGTTTTCCATTTTTAGTTGAAAACGGTGCTGTGTACACACGCTCTTCTTAGATTTGGAATCAAACAATTCCCAACTGATTAAAGTGCACATTCCCAGGTTTTTATTAAAGGGTATTGTCATACATTTTATTTTCAACTTGTACAAATGCCAGTACCTTTTAAACATAGTCCTCCTCAGCCATTACAGGCTGCCATAATGTCCATCTCTAATCAAACACACCTGCCTGTAACTCTCTAGCAAACCTCAAGGCTTTGGTTAGATTTTTTGGGAATGTTTGATTAGAATTGGAGCTAAACTCTGCATGACAGTGCACCTCCATAACCGAAGTTGACATCCCTGCATTAGGGGGTCTGTTTAACTCAGTGGGTTCTAGAAGGATACGTTTGTCGAGAAGTACTTACAAGAGCAAGCATAGGGTCTGAATAAATGTTGGACAGATGACTAAAGCTGGAATAAAAATAAAAACTAACATACTTGAAATTCAAAAACTAAGTAAAGTAAAATATAAATGTTTACTCAGTTTAATGTCCAGGCAAAAACATAAAGCACAATACAAAAAAGCACAGCTTTAAATTGTACTCAATTGTTTAAAAAGTAGGTTTGATCGAGGCTGAAAAATTTAATTAATTATGCAATGTGTGTTGTCATTTTCACATGTTAAAACCAAAATATATAAAGATACTGTTTAATATTATCTGAGAATGTGCACTTTAACCACTTGTGAATTGTTTGATTACAAATCTAAAACTCTGGAGATTAGAGGAAAATCAAGAAAAAATTTGTCTTCGTCCCATTGATTGAGCACACATACTTACACCTTGATCACAGGTGGGACCAAGCCATTGTTTTGCAAGTCACAAGTAAGTCCCTCATCAAGACAGACAAATCAAAGTGAAGTCCTCAACTTGTTTTAGACTTCAAGTCTTAAACAAGTCATTAGTTATCTTTGCCAAAATCACTGTCAAGAGTATTTATTATTTTTGTACATTTATACTAATTTATATCAGGTAGGCTTTTAAAAGATGTTCACTTCTCAGTTCAATTTCATATGAGAATTCAAAACAAAATTAAATTAATTTTAATTTGAAAATTAAATGAATTGTTTAGTGGGGAAATTAATCATTGATTTGCTGCACATTTGTATTCACTTAGACAAATATGGGCAAGATTTTTGAAAGGTATTTTTATAAAACAAGTGCTATTGGTAACTAAACTAAATGAAAACGTTTCGTTAGCTGGAATAAAAATAAAAACTAACATACTTGAAATTCAAAAACTAAGTAAAGTAAAATATAAATGGCCACAAAATCATTTTGGAAGCCAACTGCAAGAAACATGAAAATGCCACTAGACAGCAATAAGACCATGAAAAGCTTTTCAATAATTCCAGTTGGTTTGTTAATTGTAGCAGCCATAAAATAAAAAAAGTAAAAGAAAAACTAAATGAACTGAAACTGAATTGAATTATTGAAATGTTATAACTGTAATAACCCTGATGAACACGCACTTGTTTCTACAGTTTTTTTATTCAAATGCTGAGACAAAATAAAGTCAATGTCTGCATAATGTAGTATAATGAATGTCAGTCCAACAGAACTGTTTGCTTTTTAATAAGACACTGTCTACTCTCAATGAATCACTGATTTGCTGCACAGTTTCAAACAGTTTCAAAGTACCAAAAAAAAGGCATAATGTCATATGATTAAATTGTTCAATTGATTTATAGGCTAAATAATTATGAATTAAAAGAGATTTTAATGGGTCAGAAACCAAATATTCAAAGAAGGGTCAAACATTAAACTTACTGCAGTAAAACTCACCCCCCTCTCCCTGTGTTAACCACTCCATTGCTATGTAGACCATTTAAAAAAACAAAAACATTTTAGTTACAACTGCATCTGTCTCTGAAAAACATTTAGTAGTGACTGATATAATGTTATTTTCAGAACTTTTATTTCCTTCTTATCTGTAACGTGGTGGACAGCAGATCTTAGAACACTGGAAACAGAATGAAAAATACAGTTTTTGCTCAGAACGATCTGAAATGTTAAAAGATTTTAGTCTTTCCAGGTTGAGTCTCAAGTCCTCTTCTTGATAATGTCTGATTGATTATGCTGTTACTTCAATCCAAGTCAAGTACAAGTCATGAAACTCAAGCCCACAACCCTGCTGTGAATGCACTGGAAGTCAGCTTGGATAAACGAGCCTACCAACTAAAATAAAAAATTGTTTAACCATAGATCTGATCAGAACACTAATTTATAGAATCTAAAAGACACTGTTGGTTATGTCTCTAGGTGCTGAATGAGAGAGACGCCTTGTATCTCCATCTGCTGTTTGGGCTGAAAGACCGCAATCTTGGCATGCTGGAATCCAACTTCTGCTCTACCGTCTTTTATGCCTTCAGAGCCCTGCAGGTACAGTGAGGTCCAAAAGTCTGAGACCACTATTGAAAATGCTTCTATATTAAATTATTTATTGCAAATTAAATAACCATCATTGCATTTTTGAATGATCACCTAGTAGTGCATCTCTATTATTATTATCATCATTTATTTTGTATCATTGTTATTTTAAGGTTTAAATGTTTGTATAATGCTATCAGGTGAACAGGAATGCTAAATTTGCTTATTCAATTAGTGACCAAGGCATAATGAAGAATTCATTTTAAATCATAAATGTTTCAAAACTTTTGCTGTTGTAAAAGAGGAAAATTGAAGTTTTTCAGTGTAGTCTCAGACTGTTGGGCCCCACTCTGTACATGTTCAAAAAACACAGCTTTACCATGAATGAATACAGGTTAATGAAGTGCAACAGAATTGGAAGAAGTGGCATTACACTTGAGATTCTTGTCCCGCTCCCAGATTTGTCTAATCAGTTTTTTTATAACTGACACTGAATAGATCAGAAAGATCCCGAGTAGCAATCTGTGTATCTGCATTTAGGAACGTTGGAAAGATCTTGTGGTGGATGTGGAAGTGGGCATGATCAACTCCGGTCTGAGCCTGAAGGCTGATGTACGCCATGCTCTAGAGAAACTGATGAAGCCAGATCCGGAGAGAGCCGCTGAGCTCACAGCCCAGTTTGAGGAAGGCTTTGAGGGGATCGCACTCAGGATATGGCCCCAGTTACACCTGGTTCTGACAGTGGATTCGGGCTCCAACCAGATTTATGGGGAGATGTTACGGCGGCACTACTGTAAAGATATCCCATTCTACTCCCCTTTCTACGCTGCCACTGAAGGTGTGTTTGTATGTGGATGCATGTGTGTACATTTCTGAACTGGATAGTGGATAGTGATATTTTAAAGTGATAAGCCATGATAGAGCCATGATAGGTCTTTGTGTTATTGCTTTTTCCATGGGCAGGGTTGGAAGGGTTACGTTTCTGATTACAGAATGCTTATTTGTAGCGTATTCCCTAGGATTACTGAAGGTATACTACTGGTCAAAATTTAAAATAATTACGATTTTTTAATGTTTTTGGAAGTCATTCCTGGAGTGTGTTTCCCAAAAGCAACTATGGTCGCAAGTTCTGTTGTTACCAATACAGTTCATTGGAACTTTTGACTATAGTTAGATAACGATGCTTTTGAGAAACGCACCACAACACAGTAAATGGCAACATGCATGTGTAAAGTTGTAAATGAGCCATATACCGGCATAGAGTACAGTTCACATGGATGCATTAGCTGTATATAATGGTCTGTAATTCATGTTTCAGGCCTGATAGGTGTGAACCTGTGGCCTCAGCAGGAGAGCAGACAATATCTCCTGTGTCCTCGCTCCATGTTCTGTGAGTTTATACCAGAGAAGGATCTGGATTCAGAACAGCCCAAAACTCTCCTGATGGAGCAGCTTCAAGAAGGACATAACTATGAGTTGCTGGTCACCAACGCTTCAGGATTATTCAGGTCAGGTACATGATCCTGCTTCTACACGTTTAAAACAAAGTTCTGTCATGAAACTCTTGATGGCACAGGCCAAAACATCCTAACTCAGCCTGATTTAATCACATCTGTGACGAGTGGGGCGGGGCCGAGAGCCGTGGGAACGGAGCGAAGCCGGTGGAGTTAATGATAATGAGCGACACCTGCGCCACTCACCGGTCTCGAGTCCCACGGAGGAGCTCCAGAAGGATAAAAGGAGGAGTAGCGACAGTGAAGGATGAGAGAGGACCAGGCCTGGATTTTATGTTGTTGTTTTATGCGGCAGTCGTCCGTGAGGGGCTGCCGCTTTTACTTTCGTTATGTGTTTATTTATTTATTAAAGTTTTATGTTTAAATGTTCGCCAGTTCCCGCCTCCTTCTTCCCGATCTACAAACGTTTGTTACAACATCATTATTCACATGGCGCAGCGAATGGTTTTTGTTGCATCAGCAGCCAGTGAGCTTGCTGCTCAACATTAAAATACCTGGCCAGTGTTTGCTGTAGCAGTTTGCTGCATGCTTCAGAAACCCTCCACCTTCCCCAGCACCACCTGTGTAGATCTGCTACAGGGTAATTTCACATATGTTATATATGCAGCTGCAGCATGTCTTACACACTCACCACTAAGATCAAATACATTAACATTGCCATGTACAGTATATTAACATGCTAACCTTTCAGAGAGTTTTCATGACAGAACTGGGTTTTCTTTAAATTGTCTACTTTTGCTGCTATTTTACCATCTGTCTGTGAAGATCTTAATAGTCTTAAATAGAGAAAACTGTTAATTATTAATGGAAAAAACGAAGTAAATGTCACAGTATGTTTATTTGATGTTAAAATTTTCGCAGAAGTGAAGTTAAAATATCTGGTTGGGACATTCTTTTTAGAATGTGACTATTAAAGGCGCATGTGAGAGAAAAATGTTTTTAAAAATAGGATTGCACATGTATGTTACACACGCATACTATGCGGATGATGATAGTTACACCATGCACACTGAACACATACCTTAGCACAGGGGTGTCCAAACTCAGTCCTGGAGGGCCGGTGTCCTGCAGAGTTTAGCTCCAACCCTAATCAAACACACCTGAACCAGCTAATCAAGGTCTTATTATGCATACTAGAAACTTCCAGACAGGTATCTTGAGGCAAGTTGGAGCTAAACTCTGCAGGACACCGGCCCTCCAGGACTGACTTTGGACACCCCTGCCTTAGCACATTGGTTCCCAACCCTGGTCCTGGAGGCACCCCAACACTGCACGTTTTGCATGTCTCCTTAATCAAACACACCTGATTCAGGTCATCAGCTCATTAGTAGAGACTCCAAGACAGGGGTGTCCAAACTCGGTCCTAGAGGGCCACTGTCCTGCAGAGTTTAGCTCCAACCCCAATTAAACCCACCTGCACTAGCTAATCAAGGTCTTAGTAGGCATACTAGAAACTGGCAGGCAGGTGTGTTGAGGCAAGTTGGAGCTAAACTCTGCAGGACAGTGGCCCTCCAGGACCGAGTTTGGACACCCCTGCTCCCAAGTCCTGAAACTGGTGTGTCAGAGAAAAGAGACATGCAAAATATGCAGTGTTGGGGTGCCCCCAGGACCAGGGTGGGGAATCACTGCCTTAGCATACACATAAAACAGGAAAGTATACTTTTAAGCTTTACTGTTAAACTTACTGTTTGGGCTTAAATGCAATGTTTCAAGCATTTGAGCATGGCTGACAGAATTATGAAATGTTATTAACATGAACAATGCATTGAATAAGTCATTAAGTTACTTTACCTGTGAACAGGCAGTGCTGTAATGCTGTTTTTGAGCATTTTCTTTAAAGACACAGATGATGCCATGAATTAGTGCATTGGATATTTTAAAAATGAAAAGAAAAAAAAAGAATTAGAGGAAGTAAATATTGAGGAAATTGGTGAAACAATGTAGTGGACATTCTCTAAAGTCTCTCATCTGTGTTTTTCAGGTATCGCATTGGAGATGTTGTGAAAGTAGTTGGGTTTCATAACCAGTGTCCAAAAGTGGAGTTTCAGTATAGGTACACATTTTTATTATACATTATATAATCAAATGTTTAATTCAACTGAGTGTCCTCAGGTGGTACACAGCACAACACTTTTAAGGTAAATTTTTTAAATGTTGTAATTAAAATTTCTTGTTACATCTTTAATATTTTTATGTGTCTACAAGTTATTTGGCAGTGCGAAATGTGAATAGGGATGTGAAGTTTTCTGCAGTAGCTTCATTCTTGTAGCTCAAACAGTAGAGTGTGGGACTAGCAAGGCTAAGATTGTGGATCTGATTACCAGGGAATGCATGAACTTGAAATAATATTAATGTAGTACTGGTGGTATATTCTGACTAATCACTGGAGCAGTGTTATTCTGTTTGCCCTTGCAGCAGTATATATTATTATGTATGCTTCTACAGTCATTACACTTTCTAACAAATTCATACATGCAGATTTCTTTTTGCCTAATTCTGGAAAAGCTGAAGATGGTACCTTGTCTGAGATTTTGAGAAGCACTTATCTAATCAATCATCATTTCTGTGTAATGGTTTGCTTAACGTGTGTGTTCAGGCGCGGTCAGATGTTGAGCGTGCGTGGTGAGAAAGTGTCTGAATCACTGTTTTTGGGGGCTCTTAAGAAGGCAGTGACACAGTGGCCAGGAGCCAGACTAATAGACTACAGCTGCGTTGAGAGTGGCATTTTAGGTAATGTTCGTCTTTTATGAATTCATTTGTATTTTAAAGGAATGTTCCAGGAACATTACAATTTAAACTCTATATAGCAGTTTGCGAATATTTCAGCTGTTATTATATGTGTGAATAGTGTTATAGAATTATGTCTGTGTCTGTCTGTGTAAACATCAGTATAATGTAAGTTGTATTGAATCTGGAACTTGAATTGAACTTTCTTAAGGTTGATGTTTTATGTAATACTGAAATGCATTAAATGTTGCATTTAATTTGTTGTTTGTGTTTACTGTAGGCAGTGCATCTGGAATAGCTCAGCCGCATTATCTTGTGTTTGTTGAGCTAAAGGGTGTGAGGAACCTCTCAGAGGAACAAAGATACAAGGTGATTATCTATAATGTTCATTCAAGAACTTTGAAGAGACCCTTCTCTTTAACTGCTCGTTATATTCCAGATTGCTTTTTAAATCCAACAGTTAGACCACTGCCTACAGGAGGACTCTGATATCTACCGATCCTTCAGGATGAAGGGCAGCATCGGACCAATGAGAGTTCAGCTCGTTCGTGAGGGAACTTTCCAAGAACTGAAAGATCGCATGATGGCCTTCTCCAGTGCTTCGTCTAACAACTTCAAAATGCAGCGTGTGATACGCAACAGAGAGTTTGCAGACTTTCTACTGCAGAGGGCTTTTTCATGAGCATTTCAATTAGAGATGAATGAAGTGTCATTTTTGGCAATGTTAAAATATTTTCTGCTATCCTAGTTTTATATGCTGAGATGATAGGTTGGTCTACTTGATGCTGCCAGAGAGATGGTTCTTGAGCCTGGTCCTGGAGGACCCCAATACTGCACATTTTGGATGTTTCCCTTATTTAGCACACAAGGTTTCTATAGGTAGTAATTTATTCATGGTAAGTTACTGTAGAGTATGCCGTCAACCTCAATTTCCATTTCCAAAAACCTAAGTAACTTTCAGGCTATGTTCGTGCTAATAGTTTGTTCTGACCAAATGGGACAGTCCATCATCAGATTGTAATGTAATTGAAAGCTTGTGAATTAGAATCCAGTAGAAAATTATTGAATTATAATAATCATTGTTATTATTATTACCTCACAAAATCTATTTCACCAAATTTGACTGATACCCAATATTACCAATGATTGATTTTTTCCTTTTGGAAATGACTTGAAACCACACAAGATTGTATCAAGTGCATGCCCAAGTTTTTAGGGCTCATTAGCAGTTCAAAATTTATGACTGACATTGTGAAATATTACATTACTTTTTAAAAATATATAAATACAAAAGATTTACTTTTAATAGTTCAAGCTGTATTAAAAGTCTTCTAGAGCCATATAACTTTGTGTGAGGAACAAACCAAAATTGAAGTCTATGAATTTGACCAGTTATTCTGGTCCAGTTCCAGTTCTTCTGGTCTCAGCCTGGGCTTGGACTCGAATGAGCTGGTCTCAACTGCAACACATACAAAACCTGAATGAGGGTGGTCTTGATAGTGACCTCCCATCTGTTTTAAACACCTTAGTCTTATTCAAAGTCACAGCAGCCAAAGAAAAAATCAGGTTCCAAAGTAAATCCATCTCCAATCAATGATTAAACATACTGATTGTAAACAAACAAATAATGTGACATCCTATCAAACAAGGTAAATTCTAAGCAGGTAAGCCAGCATACAACTATTAAATAAAACCGAAATGAAGGCACTTAAATAGTGTACATAGAGTCTAGTTCTTCAAAATAAGGTAAACCACAGCCTTGGCAAAGTCTGATGTAAACTGGAGTCTTCTGTTGAACCCAAAATATGCCAGAGTTTTCCGATGAGTAATGACCTCCTTGGTGAGGCTGTTGGCAGTCAGCTGTGTTTTGGTTGACCGCATGGGGAACAGCTCAACCTACTTGCTGAAATAATTCACAATGACAAGAAGGTATTGATTCAACCTTGGGCTTTTTTTGGGAACGGGTCCATAAGGTCAGTACCCAATATATGGCCAGGCTCCACCACCAACATAGATTGTAAATATTCTTGGAGATCCATGGCTTGTATTTCTGACAGATATGGCACAACTTGCAGTATTTCCAAACATAATTATGTATCTCTGGCCAATCTACAACATTCATCAGCTTAAGGTTTTTAATGGATGCATTTGGCATTTCTACCTTTCTGATTTCCTCCCAGCTGATGGGTACATTTCTATTATCACCTTGTGCCTGGTATATGGCATTCTGAGCTTGGGCTTCTACACATATTCTACATTAGTGAGGAACAACATTGGATTGCCCTTTGCTTTACTATGAAGTCACAGAGAAGGATAGCCCATCTCATCAGATGGGATGTTGGACTGGGGTACTGATCCAGGTACTGCCGTCACTTCTCTACTGGCCAAACTACAGCAAGACATTCCTTTTTGGGGTATGATGTTTCAGTTCTTTGAAGTAATGGGAAGCATAAGCAATCGTGTTCTCATTTGTGTTAACACAAATTGATTTTACTTGCATCCATTTGAACTTTCAAGAGTTTACTTAAGTCTGGTGGCATGAGACCTTTAATTTCTCAAAAACTGCCATTCCTCTTTCCTTCCCCAAACAAATATCCTTCTTCTTGAGAGCATTTAATGGAATGGCCCATTCCCGAAAAAAGACATGAATCGGTGATACCATCCTGATTGACCAAGCAACGATTGAACATCTTATAGTGGGCAGCAAGCAGAGAACATAGCAACCTTTTCACAGAATGTCGTGGAAAAGTCTTGCTACCAGTGTGTGTTTTTTTTGTGGACAACATAAAACATGCATAATGACCTGATCACAGGAACTGCTTTGTGAACAGACACAAAAGGGACATCTTAGCATATTTACACAATCTATTCAAAGATCTGTAAAGGCTTAATGAGCGCTGTTTTTGATCATATATACAATCTTACCTATAGGTAGTGGGGTATACATGAATGTATGAGTGAACGTTTAACATTTCAGAATCATGTTTGGCTTCTATGCATTCAGCACAATGCATCTGGAAGGTGTAAAAAGTCAATAATACATGGTTAAAACATTAAAGAGACTGTTCAAACTGTGAATTTTTGACGCACCAGAGTGGGCCATTTTGTGGCTAGATGTTATAACAACAGCCAGTCACTTTGGCACCAAGTTGCAATTGACGTTGCAATCAAGTGCAGTTCCTTAGTATGATGAAGGAAAAATGTACCCTCCAGTTCAGAGTTCAAAGTTCTGAAAGAAGGCTTCTGAACGGTTTTTTTTTTCTGAAAGAAGGGAAGTTTGGGGAAACAGTAACAGCAAACAACTTATCGTATTAAAGCTTCTCAACTTACATCCATTTAAAAAAAAGCCAACACGTTTTCAGTCCCAAGATAGTGAAAATCATGCCCCAAAATATCATGTCATGGTGTCAAAATTATGCCTCTTCACGTGCACTATAATTTTACAATGATACTTTTTTTTTGATGCCCTAGGCCTAGATGGCAAATGATTCTCATGGAAAGTATTGCAATAAAGACGCCAGAGGGCGCTTTTGGCATCTTGGATATGGTGCAATTTTTGGTGCATTAAATAGTCTGTGTTAATTAACAAATGCCATGTCAGATGCAGCTTCTGTACCATCTTGCAAGTATAAAGATGGCTTTTGTTGATGTTGCTAAAACTTTTATTGGTAACATAGTATCTAATTTAGATTGATTGAATTCATTTAAATTTGACATAAAAGACAACACATATATACTAAAATTATTATAAAAAGTATAAAGTTAAATATAAAGGCAAAAATACCCCTGGAAATCAATTCCAGGGGGCAAATATTGCCCCTTAATGGAAGTTAATTGTGACCCTGTCCAAGACAGCTTGTGTGATGAAGTTGAGACAAAGATACTAAGGGAAAAAGTGTTTTATTGGAGCCCTCATAATGAAATATAATTACATGCACATAAACAAAGCAAATTTACAATTGGAATAAAAGTTACATGCAAAAAGTGGTAAAAAGAGGAATCATTTTATACAAGATTCAAGGTTAATATAAATTTTAATGTAAGTTAAAAAGTTAATGTAAGTTTTGATTGATAATCAATAAAAGCATGAACAGCCCTCTACAGAACAATTAAAAGCTTCTGTATTGAGTATTCAGTGTCATAGTTTTTAAAAGTATAAAACAATATAATACATACAGTAAGTGTGTAATCAGTCTACTACTGCAATGCTAGTTTTATGACCACTCAAAGTAATTTGTGCACATTATTAAAACTTTATTCATTACATACCTACACTATAATCACACTTACAAGTGTCCACATGAAAGACTGTGTTAATTCATATGTGTGCAGGTCCATGTTGCATATAATGTAGAATGAATTAAATCAAATAGCTCCTTATCACTGATTTAAGTGGTCACACATTGTGCAAATGAAAATAAACCCTGAGTCTCAATCCAAGTATTAAATTCAGCTACTTAGTGCAATAGAGTACTACTGGAATTCTGACAGCAGCTTTTTAAAAAGTTTTACATAATTTCAACAACATGCAACAACATTCCCATATTCGGCAAAGACAGTAACTGTTATTAATAAGCATTGCTAATTTGTCATGCAGCATTCTGTCAACTGTGCATATACAGTGGGTACGGAAAGTATTCAGACCCCCTTAAATTTTTCACTCTTTGTTATATTGCAGCCATTTGCTAAAATCATTTAAGTTAATTTTTTTTCCTCATTAATGTACACACAGCACCCCATATTGACAGAAAAACACAGAATTGTTGAGCTGTGGGTACATTAATGAGGAAAAAAAATTAACAAATGATTTTAGCAAATGGCTGCAATATAACAAAGAGTGAAAAATTTAAGGGGGTCTGAATACTTTCCGTACCCACTGTATGTATTAAAGTGGCTGCTATTTTATCTGTTCTGATAGTTACACAGAATAATCCTTTTGTGGATACATTCTGGGCTTTTAATTTTATGGTAACATTTCTTTCAATACTACATGGCCATCAAATAATACATTATGATGAGGTCATCTGATTGAATACATTTTTTAAAATAAATATTAAAAATGAGGGCAGTCTATCATGGGCATAGATTATAGAGGTATGTCGGAATAGTCTACTGCAAAAACTGTAGGACATTTTGAATATAATACAATCTATTTTTGAATATAATCTAACTAAAAGTTTTATTCCATAAGTGCATTTGCTTGCTTTTCTTTGATATGTCCCATTTGAGTAAACAGTCAAGCTCTGATAGGTAAAGTGAAATGATAAAGTACTGTACGTACATGCTGTGTCCTAAATATCTGCAGCAATTTAAAATATTCATTCAACATTTCAGAGTACATTTTCTGTAGGAAAAATAATAATCCACTATGCAGGTCAGGAGCATATAGACACACAGAAAACGAAATCATAGTTCAATGAAAGTGATTTTTGAAATAGAATTCTGCTAATTCTAACTGATGTACACAGTAGACAACTAACATGTTTACTGTACTCATGAACACAGTACAGTCACCAGGTTTTTTAGTGAAGATGCTCTCCATTTGATGACATAATTCACATGTAACTTTGCATAGTTTTGCAGTTTTTGAGAATGGAATGGAATGCCAGGAACCAAGTTTCTGAAAAGATAAAGTGGTTTAAAAATTAGTTTGCATTTTTGCCTTCTGAAATCAGATCATCTAATCGATAATGAGCTGATATTTTTATGTACAGTATATAGTATTAAAGTAAGATGCTGGTTGATATAACTGAAATTAGAACTTATTTTTTAATGTATCGTCATAATCATAAAAACATTGGTATGTAGTGCAAATAGTTTTACCATTTAATGCACGTTGTTATTCTTCTAGATTTTTACCTATGGCTAATGAACTGGAAGTCTTTTGCCAAGAAAATAGCTTACTTCCGTGTTGCAAAATAAGGTCGATAATCAGGAGCATATAGACACACAGAAAACTAAATCATAGTTCAATGAAAGTGATTTTTGAAATAGAATTCTGCTAATTCTAACTGATGTACACAGTAGACAACTGACATGTTTACTGTACTCATGAACACAATACAGTCACCAGGTTTTTTAGTGAAGATGCTCTCCATTTGATGACATAATTCACATGTAACTTTGCATAGTTTTGCAGTTTTGAGAATGGAATGGAATGCCAGGAACCAAGTTTCTGAAAATATAAAGTGGTTTAAAAATTAGTTTGCATTTTTGCCTTCTGAAATCAGATCATCTAATCGATAATGAGCTGATATTTTTATGTACAGTATATAGTATTAAAGTAAGATGCTGGTTGATATAACTGAAATTAGAACTTATTTTTTAATGTATCGTCATAATCATAAAAACATTGGTATGTAGTGCAAATAGTTTTACCATTTAATGCACGTTGTTATTCTTCTAGATTTTTACCTATGGCTAATGAACTGGAAGTCTTTTGCCAAGAAAATAGCTTACTTCCGTGTTGCAAAATAAGGTCGATAAAAACAGTTTTTAGTGTCCTGCAGTGAGGACTGAGCAGGATTATATGTATCTGTTAATATTATTAATGGACTTGAGCTAACATGGAAAAATTAAAAATGTAACTGACGTTAACAAAGATTAATAGATCATGTAACAAATGTATTGTTAATGCAATAACTGACATCAACTTATGGAACTTTACTGTAAAGTGTTACCAAAAAGGTTGTTGAATTGGACACACATTTGAGCTTCTGTTTATTATATTTGCTCTACAGTTCTGGGAAAAAAATTAAGAGACCAATGAAAAATTATCAGTTTCTCTGGTTTTACTATTTATAGGTGTATATATGTGTCTGTGTAAAATGAACATTTTTGTTTTATTCTATAAAATACTGACAACATTTCTCCCAAATTCCAAAAAAAAAAAAAATTTAAAAACCCCTGTCATTTAGAGCATTTATTTGCAGAAAATGACAGCTGGTCAAAATAACAAAAAAGATGCAGTGTTTTCAGACCTCAAATAATGCAAAGAAAACAAGTTCATATTCATTTGTAAACAACACAATACTGATGTTTTTTAACTTAAGAAGTTCAGAAATTAATATTTGGTGGAATAACCCTGATTTTCAGTCACGGCTTTCATGCGTTTCCTGTTGAGTGACGTTATGCCACTCCTGGCACAAAAATTCAAGCAGCTCGTCTTTGTTTGATGGCTTGTTACCATCCATCTTCCTCTTGATCACAATGTGGTTTAGGTCTGGAGATTGGGCTGGCCATGACAGGGTCTAGATCTGGTGGACCTCCATCCACACCTTGATTGACCTGGCTTTGTGGAATGGAGCATTGTCCTGCTGGAAAAAACAACATTGTCAGAGTAGAAGAACAACCTTGTACTGTACGAGGATTGATTCACAGTGGGTGGATTGTAGGCCTCTCCAGGTCTCCTTCTAACCATTAAACAAAGCTTAAAACTGGACTCATCCGAGATGGTCCAATCCTTATGGTCTTTTTTTGCAAACCTCAGCCTGGCTCTTCTTTGCTTCTCATTGATGAAGGGTGTTTTTCTAGCATTGCTCTGCCCCCAGGAGCCTGTTTCAAACTGTTCTCTCCGTGCACTTCACCCTAGCTACCCTAAAAAGTTTGCCATTCTTTTTGTAGGTCACTTGATGTCATCCTTCGGTTGTTGAGTGACATTCAAATGAGTTGGTGGTCATTTCAGTCAGTGGAGAGTCGCTTTTGCTCTCTGCTGGTCTGTAGCTTTGTTGTCCCAATATCTGCAGCTTGAACCGCTGTCTGTGAAATTTTAAGGATGGAAGCAACCTCACTGTGTCCCTCTGCCAGTATAGCCAGAATTGAACCCTTCTTCACTCAAAACGTTTCTTTTTAATTATTTTGTTATGGTCAATAATTATTTGATTCCAATTATTTTTGAGGTACTACTAGCACTGTTTTGCCATCCAGCTGATCCCTATTGCAAGAGGATAGTGATGACCACAGCGGTGGTTTTTATACTTTTCCTCGTTAAATGAGATTTGGTTGAGGCGATCACCTAATCAGTACTTCATTAAGCAGAATGAGGTGTGTCTGTGTGTCATGTGGAGATGCTGATTTAAGAAAAAATTATAGTGGTCTCTTAATTTTTTCCAGAGCTGTATATATGCATAAAAGCCAGCAGTGGTTTTTATACTTTTCCTCGTTAAATGAGATTTGGTTGAGGCGATCACCTAATCAGTACTTCATTATGCAGAATGAGGTGTGTCTGTGTGTCATGTGGAGATGCTGATTTAAGAAAAAATTATAGTGGTCTCTTAATTTTTTCCAGAGCTGTATATATGCATAAAAGCCTGAATTAAATCTGTTCATCATATCGCATCTCTTCTGGAAGATTTGGATTAAACCACTCCATTCATATGGACTGGTCATAAGTTCAGTGTCTTTCTGAACTTTTTTGAAGCTTGAAAATTGTGATTTACAAATATCTTCAATTGTGTTATGCAGATGAACAAAAGTCTTATGGGTTTGGAAAAACAAGAGGGTGCGTAAATGACACAATTTTAATTTTTGAGTGAATTATCCCTTTAACAATAAAAACAAGGAAAGCAGTTGGTTGTGTGTACAGCAATTATGGTGTATTTACCAGAAAAGTGAATATAGATAAAGTGATAATAGCTTCACTGATTATAATGAGAACGATTTAGTTTTGTGTGTGTGTGTGTGTGTGTATGTGTGAGATATTCTAGTTTTTAAAAAACTTACTTGGTAAGCACATCCAGGCCCCGGCCTCTAACATTTTGTGATTTCTTGGTTAAGACTAGCAGGTTTTAGAAGTTGGTTTGGTGCCAGTTCTTCCACACCATTACTGCCATTTTCTGCGGTGGAACAGGAAAAGGTTCCGATCAGGCACTGGATCTGTGACCGAGAGAGACACCCTGTTGGTGGAAAAGGGATTCGGTGATGGTCCAGATGATTAACTGCTGAGCAGCTTTTTCTCTTTATACTCATGAACTTACGAAATTCATAATGAAAGGAAAATGGTGTTAAAATTCAAACAGAAATTTTGGTTGCAGGGTTGATTATAGTCATTCCTCATTGTCAGTCCATCAGATCCAGGCACCATGTGGTCTCTGAGCTCTCAGATTGGCTACAAATTCCTACACTGGACCCGCTAGACCTTCTCTCTGATGTCTCACTATCTTGGCCCAGCCTTTGATTACCCAGTAGGCACTCCCGACTGGTGTGCTCTACTTCAGATGACTCCTCAAGAGATGAGTGAACTACAATCGATTCCTTTGGAGAGGGTGGAGAATTCTCTTGTAGGAAAGTGGACGGTACCACATTCTGATTGAGGGCCACCTCTGGAGTCCTGTGCTCTTCATCCTCGGTTGGAGTGGGATAGGGAAACGCTGGTTCTGTGGAAAGGTGTAGGTGTGAATCCGAGCTTGGCGTGACCTTGCAAGAAAAAGATGAACTGCCCAATGTTTGAGGAATCAATGTATGCAAAACAGGGTGTGACTGGCTGATACTGGCATGGGCTCTATCTCCAGCACAAATGCCCAGTGATAAGCCCTCTGCTCGGGGGCTTTCTCCAGGTGTTGGCCCCTGGGCTCCTGGGCTGATGCTAAGGAGAGAGGAGCCAGTAGATAAGTGATGGTGGCTGATATTGGAGGGAATTGAGGTGTACAAAGAACTCCAGTCATGGGAACAGGGCTCATTTGCTGTGACAGGAGAGGGTTGTTTAGGCTCATGCTGGTGAAAGTGTCCCTGTTTCTCAGTGTGCTGAGAGAAACCAGATCCACCTGCACATACCAGAGAAACATTTTAATCAACTGATGATGAAGACTTTGTAACGTCTCTGCCAACTTGTATACAAAAATATAGATGGTTGCATCAATGAAAAAAAAAAAGCTACAGGTAGTTTGTGGCCATACTACCAGGTCGGCTGTGACTCCAAGACGTGGACGCCAGGAGACCCTCAGGGACAACATGGTCTTTGTGCTGCATGTGGATGCTGGAACCCAAGATGTAGGCTGGAGACATACTGATAGAAGAACTGGACATCATGTGGACTCCATAGGGACAGGAGGACAAAGGTGCTGTGTAATGGCGAACAGCTATCTGTGCTTGCAGGAGGTGCATTATGTGATGCAGATCCTTTGTTAGAATTGACACTTCCTGTTTCAGGTTGCCCATCTGGAATGAGTTGCATTAAAATATTGTATTAGAGTATATATAAACATGAGAATCATAAAACACAAATAAACCATCAGTTGCAAACTTAATTTGTCCTTTATTTTTCACTTGAGTACACCTCGTCATAATTATGATTTCTGAGTTTATACTGTAAATAGGAACATTTTAGAAGGATTTAATGTCTCTGTCTTTAGGAATGAGATTGTCACTGCACCTTCTTGTTGAGTTGGTCAATGGTCTCTTTCACTTCCTTTGTATCCTGAAGCAGTGACGCATTCACCTGACCAGACCCTGCATTAAAACAAAGATGCAATGACCCAACTGACCAATATGGTATGTTACTTAGATACTAAGAATAAAATATCCTTACCGTCCAGTGTCTCACTACCCATTGATGTCACTGTACTAGTTTTGGCCGTGGTGTCCTCCACATTAAAACGAAACACATGTCCGTTGTCCTCAACTCCATCTACAACTCTATGAAAAGCCACACAGTCAGAGACTGTTATTCACAAATATTTTTATAATGTATAAAAATAGTAAAATATAAAGTATTTATAATACTTTTTAAAGTACTCAATAACATGCAAATATCGATTCATACTGTCTCATCCTGTATTTATACAGGGGTAGGCAACTCCGCTCTTCACAATAAGAAAGGCTTAGCCTAAGGCTAACACACCAAGCTAACAGTCAACTGTCGGCCAATGTCAAGCCATCATTGAACATCTGTCAGCTCAGTTTTTGCGATGTGTTCACCACTGTCTGCACTAGTTGGATCCCGTTTGGCAAAGTTTTGGACGATTGAGCATTTTGAGTCGCCTTTGGGAAGTCACTGAGACAGATCTCTCTGATTTTCAGCGTAGGGAACCAGAGCACGGGAAGAAAAACAAAAGTGATGAAAGCGAGCAAACGACAAAGTCAACAGGGCAGACATTGAAGGCTGTTCTAATTTTACCTGAGCATTCCAATGTGCAAATATTTTCAAATGACATGGCCATATGGAATGAAGAAAATGAAGACCAACAATAAACATACTTAGAATGGTAAACAAGTGCTGCTTTGTTTACGGTTTGTATATCCGCAGTCCTAGTTTTGGAGACCTTTTTGGAATGACAAATATGAATACTGCTTACTGGCACCACCAGTGAAGAATGTACGTTCTGTGCAGTCTGTTCAGGTGCACCTTTTTGGCCCCGATGCAGTTGACGTGAAGTTGACAGCACAATTGGCTTTCATCGACGCTAGTTCTTTGATGACAGTTTGGTGTGTTTTGCCTTTAAAGGGTTAGTTCACCCAAAAATAAAAATTCTGTCATTAATTACTCACCCTCATGTCGTTCTAAACCCGTAAGACCTCCGTTCATCTTCGGAACACAAATTAAGATATTTTTGATGATTTCTGAGCGCTCTCTGACCCTCTCATAGACAGCAATGTAATTACCATGATCAAGGTCCAGAAACATAGCAGGGAGATCGGTAAAATAATTCATGTGACATCAGGGGTTCAACCGTAATTTTATGAAGCTACGAGAATACTTTTTGTATACAAAGAACGCAGCTGACAGAGAATAGCATACGCTGTTTACGTTCAGTGGATATTCTCCAAAATGGCACCAGGGTGACGTGGAGGAGACAAATTGTTGAATAAAGTCGTTATTTTTGTTTTCTTTACGTACAAAAAGTATTCTCCTAGCTTCGTAAAATTACGGTTGAACCCCTGATGTCACATGGAATATTTTACAGATCTCCTTGCTACGTTTCTGGACCTTGATCGTGGTAATTACATTGCTGTCTATGGGAGGGTCAGAGAACGCTCAGAAATCATCAAAAATATCTTAATTTGTGTTCCGAAGATGAACGGAGGTCGTACGGGTTTAGAACGTCATGAGGGTGAGTAATTAATGACATAATTTTCATTTTTGGGTGAACTATCCCTTTAAGTCCTCCTTTCACAGCAAGTAGCAAATCACGTTTTGTTGATCTATGGCATAAATGTCAAAATGTTGCATCCTTTTAAGTAGAAAATACTGTCTAAGAATGTTACCTTGGACTAAGATCTGGTGGTCCAAAGCAGCTGAGAGTGGGGATGAGCAGTCTGGCAGGTTTGCGTCCTGTACCTCCAGAATCTGTCTGTGTCCTATGGGTGGATTTGGGTGTAGATGAGGGAGGATGGGTTTGTTTCTGTACTTTGGTCTGATGTTTGGGGGAAGGGTTTGGACTCCAGCCCCTGACAGGTGAATGACACTGTCGCAGGGTGTTGAACTGCAGTAACTCTTCCCCCAAAAGATTCCCCAGTGATGTACGTCGTACTGGGCTGCTTAGATTGGGCAGAAGAAGATTTCGGCATGTATTGGAAGCAGGTGGGACATGGAAGTACTTGTCTGGATCATCAGCCTTTTCTATAATGGATGGACGCTTATTCTCAGTTGTTGCACTGGAGTCTGGGTAGTTCTGCTGCAAGGAGAAAGAAATGACACCAGGGGATAGGTCAGAGACTGTACAGTATATAGCTGAGACAGATCACTCATTCATTACAATGAATGAGAAAAATTGGAACGCCCAAGATGGCAGCTGTAGTAAAGTAAATCCCATAATTCAAATGAAAGAGTCAGGTCAGTAATGTTTGTATTTCTGTTTAAGTTCTCTGGTTACCATTGCTTTAAAGAGTGGAACTTGTGGTTAGCCTACAGATCGCTGCATAAATGAAGTCCATCTGTCTTTTTCCAAAAGAGACTTTTTTTGTTTTTGTTTTTCGGAGCTTGAGCCAAGTCTTGGGCCCAAGCCAGTCATACACTCTAAAAAATGCTGGGTTAAATATAACCCAGCGCTGGGTTAAAAAGGGACAAACCCAGCTATTGGGTTGTTTTGACCCAGCGGTTGGGTTCAAAACAGCCCAACTCCTTTCACAGCAAGTAGCAAATCACGTTTTGTTGATCTATGGCATAAATGTCAAAATGTTGCATCCTTTTAAGTAGAAAATACTGTCTAAGAATGTTACCTTGGACTAAGATCTGGTGGTCCAAAGCAGTTGAGAGTGGGGATGAGCAGTCTGGCAGGTTTGCGTCCTGTACCTCCAGAATCTGTCTGTGTCCTATGGGTGGATTTGGGTGTAGATGAGGGAGGATGGGTTTGTTTCTGTACTTTGGTCTGATGTTTGGGGGAAGGGTTTGGACTCCAGCCCCTGACAGGTGAACGACACTGTCGCAGGGTGTTGAACTGCAGTAACTCTTCCCCCAAAAGATTCCCCAGTGATGTACGTCGTACTGGGCTGCTTAGATTGGGCAGAAGAAGATTTCGGCATGTATTGGAAGCAGGTGGGACATGGAAGTACTTGTCTGGATCATCAGCCTTTTCTATAATGGATGGACGCTTATTTTTGTCCCTTTTTAACCCAGCATTTTTTAGAGTGTACAAGCACAGTGGATTAGCTAATTTTGATGTGACAGCTTTGATAGTGATAATGAATGGTTTGGTTTACTATGTAAGTAAATATGTGTGTTGAGAGATTGTAGTCTTACCTCAGTCTCACTGCCCTCTCTCAGATTGTATGTGAGGTTTCGGTGGATGTCAGTAGTAAAGATGCTGGCATACTCGGTATATAGTTCAAGAACATCACTTAAACCTTTCATACTGATATACTGCAGGTCACAATATGTCAGTGCCTTTACATCTGCATTCGTCTTGATCACATGATTCTGGCCAGGCAGGTCTGAGCCAATCAGATCTCCTTTTCCTGTAATGACATCAACACTGAATAAAATCAATTACTCTATTACAATTCATTTTCATATCAATCTTCTGTTTACCAATGTATAATACGGTAGTTGTACTGTAGACGACATAGACCAGTAATCCCACTACTAGAAGTATTTTTAAGACAACTTTACAGTTCAAACGACAGACATTTTTAGAAAAAAATAATTAGTATAAACTTAATGTTTGTACTTTTAATGTGTCTGGCACAATTGCTCCTAAGTTTGTTATTGTAAACATGATTTTAGTTTGTTTTCATGAACTGGAGAAGAGTCGAAAGTAGTTGCTGTGGTAATGGACAGCTGTACACCTGAAACATTCCATCAACATGTAGTACATCAACATGTACTGTAGCGTTCAGAAGGATAATCAATATACATAATGTCCAAATAACAAGTCAAAAGGTAGAAAAGCAACAAAGACATGTTACTAACCCAGAATAGCCAAGACCATGTTGTTCTTTAGAACCTCCAGTGACCCAGAACAGACAAAGTAGTTGGCCTGCAACGCGTCCCCCTGTCTGATGAGATATTCCCCCGGTGTACAGAAAGTGGTTTTGATATGGAGGGAGAGCGAGCGCAGGCAGCCCCTACTAGCACCATCAAACACAGGCAGCTGCAGGATGTCTTTGTTTAAGTGCATGGCTATATCGGCACGCAACTCATCAGGAAAATCATGCAAGAGCTGCAGAAAAAACAACAACATAAAATCTTCTTTACCATTGTTTGAAATGAACAATAAATAATAGAAATACTTTTTTTTTCCCTTAAAACTTTTTTTTTGGTTCTTAAGACTTTAAAAAATATATTTAAAAGGTTTGAAGGTTCAGACAATTATACAAAAAAACAGGTAACACTTTATTTTGGGGACCAATTCGCACTATTAACTAGTTGCTTAGCATGCAAATGACCAAAAAAGGGTTGTTAGGATGTTCTGGGTCTTTGGTAGAGCATTGCTATGCAATTGCTAGGGTGTTCTTTATGGTTGCAATGACATAATTAGGCTGTTGCTATGCTATGTGATTGCTAGGGTGTTGCAAAGGCATTATTGTTGACAGGCATGTTGGGTCACTCTTCTATGTTTCCTAACCTCCTTTGTGGCTCACTTCTTAATTGTCAGTCTTTGATGCAGCTGAAATTGAGCTGCGGTTCTGAAAGACAGACTGGATTTTATGATGTTTGATCCCCTCCCCCCTCCATCCTCCCGCTTATCCTCCTCCATCCATCCTCCTCCAGTTGTTTTGTAAGGTTGTTGTTAAATGAATGCTCTTACACACTCTGTGTCACTTATCAAATCAAGTGTCCTTAGCCAAACTCTGCCAAGTAAAGACAGGACCCTGAGCTCTTTTAGGAGCCATACAACACAACAGATTTGGTGTGCACAGCACACAAGCAGTTGTACAGTCTTTTAGCAGCTAGGTGTTCCTTGATCATCATCTTGGCCTGTCCATCAAAGATACTGTATCTGCGATGCTGTGTAAATAGCGTTAGTGGGTTGCTCAGTGTCACTATGGAAGACTTTTCTGAGTGTTTTGGCACAGTTCAACCACAGTCATGTTGAGCTAGCTTTCTACCAAAATCCCTTCACCTGGCGTTCGAACTCTGCAGAGGAGGCCAAACCCGGTGAAAAAAACTCTTGGTGCGAGACAAACAGACTCCTTTTAACAAAGGGCTCTTCCCCTTCACTGGTGAGTGCCACTCAGCCTTATCTCATGAACGAGCCTCTTTGCCCGTTATCCTGTCACGCGAATGTGTTGCAGTTTCTCTCAGTTCTGGCTAGGTGGTGAAACCCATTCTGGACCTACGTAAGACAATTGAATCGGCACTTTCCACTGTGCCCATTCAAAATGGTTTCTCATAAACGAATCCTATCACACACCCATACTGAGAGCTGGTTTACGTCTGAGAATCTAATGGATGCGTACTCTCATATGCTGATTGTTCAGCATTACATACTAATCTAGGGATGCATTCGAAGGGAAGAGAATTGCCCCACAGAAATTTAGCAGCATTTGCACTCTGAACAAACTCTATGATTAGATCAGAGGTTTTGTGCAAGACACAATATGACATCCAGAGCTGTGCAGCCTACATTTCAGTTTCTACGTGCTCAGCAGAGTTTACCAGGATCATCTTTTACTGTTTACTGGGTTATCTCAGTTGGTAAGGTGGTAGTTACTAGGCAGGCTATGCTCTGAGTTAGAGTGTGTTTACATTTCAACAGTGATGGATGCTGGTTTCACCCCATCAGTGCCCAAACTTTGTGTAGCTGCCATATAAGAACACCATGCTGTTATAGTTGGCTATTTTGTGTGCAGGCACGATCTGATAATAAGAAATCTCAAGGAATGAGGCGTCAAAACTCTTTTGTCCTGCTACAGTCCTGGGATTTTCCTGCAACATGTGCCTAACAGTGCTAAGCTTCACCAAACATGGGGATCTGTCATGATTGCAGCATTAAGCATATTTAAAACATATTTGAATCTGTGACTGATGGGAGGGCCTAGACCTTCATCCACATCACATGGTTTTAGAATTTGGGGACAAAAGCACCACTTGATCAATTAGAACATCTTAAGATGAATTAGCTGAACCCCCTTCCCCCCCTCTTTTTATTTGAGGAACCTCTGAGATTTTACTTAATATTTTAACAAATTTAACCACACATTTGCAAGCTCATACAGTGGAGATCAAAATTAGAGAACAATTTATGAACACTTCAGAAATAATATAATCTTCATCGTTCAAAATTTGAAGGAATTTTAGTTGTGGCTATACCATGCTAGTAGAACAGTGTTTTACAAAATAACCAAGGCACTTCGACAAAAACCCTTTATTCTGTGGAAAACACAGTGATCAAAATTAGAGAACAGCAATGACTGTAGCACGAAGAAAGATTAAAACTACAATTTCTAAAGGTTACAGTAAAAATTAGTAGGAAGTGTACAGGCCCTTGCTTTCAATGACTTCAGCACATCTGCGGCCACAGGACATAGTCTCTCACTCTGCTCTGGTGTGATCTTGGGTCTTCCAGAGTTCGGTGACTGTAGTGGGTTTCTTATCCATAACTTTGTCACCAAGGATTTTACCAGAGATTTTCAGTTTAGATCAGGACTCTGGGCTGCCCATTTAATTATTTCATTATTTTAAAAGGAACTGCTTTACTTGTTTTGCTGTGTGACAGGGGGCATTGTCCTGCATGAACGCAGGGAAAGGAACTGCATGTTGCTGAAGGAGGTTCTGATAAACATTTTGCATTCACTCTGCCATGTAACTGTATAAGAGGCCCAAATCCTGCTGCAGAAAACATCCCCCAAACCATGACACTTCCTCCTCCACCGTTCACTGACTTCTTTACACACTTTGGGTTCAGTCTTTCCCCAGTTTGATAACAAACATAATGTTTCCCATCAAACCCAAATAAATTAAACTTGCTTTCATCACTGAAGTGAACTTTGGACCAGTTCTCCTCTCTCCACACAACATGCTCCTCAGCAAAGGTTAGTCTAGCCTTTTGATTCTTTCTGCTGATGAGAGGGAGTGGGCTTTCCGTCCAAATTCTCTTAAATGTCGAGACATTGAATGCCGAGACAGATCCTTACCCTGTTCAGTGCTGAACTGGCGAGCAATTCCAGCTGCAGTGTTGAACCGTTAATTAAGGAAATTAGCACGAGGTGCCAGATTAACATCAATAACTGGGAGGTATCTGAAAGTGTTTTCTAATTTTGATCAGTGTTCTTTTTCAAATATCTAATTTAAGCTTTTTGTACTGTGCTTCAGAATATATTTAAAGGTGGGATAAGCGATTTCTGGTAGCCAATGTTGACATTTGAAATCACCAAAACAAACACGCCCCTACCCCAAAAGGGTCTCAATTCATGAAATATGCTTAAAACTGTGCTTTTACGCCTGTTAGGACTAAGCAGTGACTTTGAAATTTAGGAAATTGTTGGTTGTTCTCAAATTTTGATCTCCACTGTAGTTCTCTGGTGTTGGTTAATGGTCAGACAGGACATGCAGGTAAACAAATAAAATATTTCATCTTTTTTAGTACATTTTATTTTTGATTGGTTTTATTTTTTAATTATTTATTTTAATTTTACATTTTTAAGATTTAATCAATTATTTGCTTTTCATCATCTCTCAACCCCCTGCAGTGCTATTACAACTGTCAGTTTGGGAAACCCTGATGCAATGCAATGTTTAATACACTTCATGTTATTGACAACAAAGAATGGAATATATTTTCTTTCTTTTTGTATTTTTATCAATATTGTACTAAACAGTGATAAATGAGTTAGGCCAAAAGTAATCTTAAAGTAATCAAAAAGTTGTTAGATTATATAACCTAAAATGCATAATCTAATACATTACATTCAATTTTTTTGTGAAGTAATTTGTAATCAGTAATGAACTACAATATGTAAGTAATCTACTCAACACTGGCTATGATTAAAAATCTGCGTAAACACACCTTCTTGTGGTAAAAAATAATGCATGTGGCTTCTATGTTACTTTTGCAGTGTAAAGAGAAACAGACCATGCACACACTTTTAAATGAAAAAGTAGCATAATGTTTTGTTTGGAGTTATGAAATAATGTAACATGTTATATTTAAGTAATATTCCCCAACACCTTGGATGGTGCGTTGATATACCACATGCGGTAAAAAAGATATCTCTGCACAGACTAAAACAATTTTACATAAAATGTAAATAAATAAGAAAAAATAAACACTTGATAATGCCAAGCACTTTCTCACCTCATTGACATCAATGCCATTATTCACAGACCAGGTGGTCTGGAAATATTCAAGCATGCGTTGTTTTAGCTGCTGTGGCAGCCGGTGAACACGAATGAAGTCCTTCAGATCTTTCATGCGTGTGTGATATAGTGAGCGGCGTGAGTACATGCGCTGGATGATGGCTGTTACATTCCCAAACACCACAGCGTGCATGAGAGCTGTGTAAGAGAAACAACCAATCTGATTCACAATATAACAAACTAGAAATAAGGGCATTAAACAGGCAGGCTAATGTTAAAAATGTAATGTTAAACACGTAAACATGTACAGTACAATGAAAAAAGTCCATGAACCTGTTTGTGGCTATTATAAAGTCTGAGGTTCTGACTCATTGGTGAGTGGTTTGTTCACATGGTGAGACTTATTGTTTTGTTAACTGTTTTCAGGTTGTGGGGAAAATCGAATCTACATTTTCTGAGACATTAGCAGAGATGTTTGTGTTGCCCATCATAGAAGATGATGTTAACTATGTTAATTATTTATAGAAAATATATTTTTTTATTCTTCTTTCTGTCCAGATTTCAAATCTACATTGTGTCGGTGTCACAGAATGTGACATTTTGAATCACTGTAGTTCTTTGATGACATGTCTGTGTCACATAAATATTCATGAGTCTCTTTATCCTACAAGAAGACACTGTTTTGAAATTTTGTCATTTCATCTGAATATCAAGATATGTGAGATTTAGTCAATGGAAACAAAAAATAAAGAAAATAAAACCATTTGTAGCGTTTGATTTTTGAAATTTGTGTTTGAGGTTTGGCAGCTGTGTTAAGAATTTTGGGACAATGGGCCAAAGATTCAGTAAACATGCAAATAATTGGGGAAAACTGTAAAATGGTGTTTAATGAATGTATGACATTTTTCATGTTGTGTGTGTGTTTTCATGTTTTGTCTATAGAGTTTTGGAAAAAGGAGCTATATTTTTTTTTAGAAATTGTGCGTAAGCAATTATCAAAAACTTTTAAAATGCAGCAGCACATCGTGAAAAAATAAATTTGTCTAGAATACTGTGGAAGTTACTGCTTACCCCCAATGAGCATAGTACAAACAGAGAAAATCTTCTCAGCATCAGTGTTGGCACAAACGTTGCCGAAGCCCACACTGGTCAGACTGCTCAAGGTGAAATACAGAGAGGCGATGTAGGCACTGCGAACCGAAGGACCACCAACTGTACTGTTGAAATAGGGCTTGTCCAAACGCCTGCCCAGCTCATGTAGCCAGCCTGACAGAAAGAAAGATACATCTTATATTGTCAAATATAAATACAGTCAGCTTTTAATACAAATAGTTACTTTATAAGGGTGTTCAATCTTCAAAAAACAAAAAAAACAAATATATATATATATATATATATATATTAAAGAACCAACTAAGACCTCTTTCAGTGAACAAAAAATGAAAAGAGATAAAGTCTTCGTATTCAAACATTTTAAATTATGATGATGATAAAATTTTATAATAATTATAATTTACTGTACAGTACAATAGTAAAATTACAATACTAATATTTACACTACTGTTCAAAAGTTTGATTTTTAATGTTTTTTTGTCTTATGCTCAGCAAGACTTGTTTATTTAATGTATTCAAATCTTTTGTAACAAGTTTGGGGTCAGTACATTTTTTTTTATTAATTAATACTTTTATTCAGCGAGGATATGGTAAATTGATAAAAAGTTATATTAAAGACTTATATTGTTACAAAAGATTTTGATTTTTAATATATGCTGTTCTTTTTAACTTTTTATTTATCAAAGAATCCTGAAAAAAAGTATCACAGGTTCTAAAAAATGTTAAGCAGCACAACTGTTTCCAACATGATAATAAATGAGTATTTTAGAATGATTTCTGAAGGACCATGTGACACTGAAGCCTGGAGCAATGGATGATGAAAATTTAACTATGCTACCACATTAATAAAGTATGTTATTTTATTAAATTTTAATACATTAAATAATAATATAAACATATATTAAAATAGAAAACCTTTATTTTAAATTGTAATATTATTTTACAATTTTACTGTTTATACTGTATTTTTGATCAAATAAATGCAGCCTTGATGAGCATAAGAGACTTATTAAAAAAATTAAAAACATTAAAAACCTTACAGATCCCAAACTTTTGAATGGTATTATATATTTACAAATATTTACAAATATTTATTTCTTCACTTTCAACATGAAACTATCAAGCTTCTATTTTAGTGCATGGAGATTCTTTGTTTAATTGACATCAAAGTATATATACAGTGGGTACGGAAAGTATTCAGACCCCCTTAAATTTTTCACTCTTTGTTATATTGCAGCCATTTGCTAAAATCATTTAAGTTAATTTTTTTTCCTCATTAATGTACACACAGCACCCCATATTGACAGAAAAACACAGAATTGTTGAATGGGGTGGAATTCTTTGTTCACAAAATGATGCAATGGAAAAGTTAACCTGGCACATGTTGTGTACCCAAATGTATAAGCAACTCCAATTCAGAGCACATACAGAGTTTGTATGGGGCAGCATTTACTGTGAACCAAGTTAATTTCAGCCAGCAGCAGAAGTCTCATGCAAAAGTCCCCAACGGCGTGATGGCAGACACAACCACCATCAGATCCAAGGCACTCTTCCCCAGCTTCATACATGCCAAAAACTGATGAATAGCTTCCACGCGCTTGACTGTGAAATGCGCACAGCCGCACACAGTCACTGAGTCGAGTTGGACTTCTTACAGTTTTCTACAAGCTCTAGGACTCAATTCTCAATACTTTTCAAAACTCTTCACACAGTGAGCACACCAGTAGTCTATGTGGGCTAAACTCTGGATCATTTTCCTTTGATTTGGCACAAAATACATTCAGTGACCACATCTTTCAAATGACATGAATTCATTTCTCACTCAGGCACAACCACCACCAAAACTCAATGTACTACATGTCAAAACTATTAAAATTAAATTCAAACATAATACAAAACTGAATAAGGCAGAAATTTGCTACATTTCTACAGTAACACTAAAATATATTCTAAATCTAAAAAATGAAAAACAATTGTATGTAGCTGACCACCTAGTGTTAGACTTTCAATCTTGATCATCTATACAAAAAGGGAAATGTTATTATCAATAATTTTGTACTGTAATGTAAACATGGAGCATGTAACATACTGCAATGAATTCCAAACAGTTGAGAGCCGTCATTCTTGTTTTGTAAAGAAATTTTACAAAAGAAAACAATGTATAATGCACTAGACTCCAACTACGCCAATACCAACCAATTGCCAAGGTAGTTCAGAATGTGAACGAAGCATAATTTGCACATTGTGAACATGCGTGAAGCCAAAAATAACCTTAAGTGGAGAACCTTATATTACAGTAATAACCTTTTCCTTCAAATACGAACCTCAATGGTGTGTGATAAGGGATAAGCTTACACGTACACGTTTTTTAGATCCACAAACACAAACCATTCTCTGGTCTCAGACTACAGTAAATGAGCACCTTGTGAGAGCACAATCCAGCTGTCTCAGATCCAGGATGGATTGAGACCCATGTGTTTATTCAGAAGGAGAAAATAGAGTGCTCCGGGCATTACATTATTTTTGAAGGCTAAAACTTAGAAACGAGTTAGCATTTTAGTGGTTCCATCGTCCTAAAGTCGATGGGTTTTTTGAATGGGTGGTGATATTGAAGTCATGTAACTGTTGGTGTAGTTAGTTTAAAGTCTACATTTAGCTTTTTACTAATGGCAATTGTATTTAGGTTTCAAAATTCATAAAGGTTGTGTTGAACAAAATGTTTAAGAATCATAAACTTTTGCTGGTCACTGAAATTATTTCTGCAATGATCCAAAAGCCAACAGAAAAATGCTATTGATCAAAAGCTGGTCACTTTGCACGTTGGTCAGATGGTCTATTCCTATCCTATTCCTAAGTGGGCGTTTTTGGCCAGAATAAGCATCAATGTGGCATTATGCCGAAAGTCAAAATCTCGTTCTGTGAGACTCAAGGAAACATCCCATTTAACTTGATAAGAACACCAAAGCAGCTCTTTCAAAGATTTATTTAACTCATCAGAGTGTTTGAATATCTTACCTATGTCCCAGGCTCCATTGGCATTGGTCTCCATCTCTTTGCGTCCAATGATGTACCAGATGCAGGCCATCCAGTGAGCCAGCAGAGCGAACATCGACATGAGCAGCGTTAGTACCATGGCGCTGTACTGTGAGTATCTGTCCAACTTCTGCAGCAGTCTTAACAGACGCAACAATCGCACAGTTTTCAGCAGGTGCACTAGAGACGTCTTGAACAAGCACAAACATGTGTGTGTCAATAGCCTGTGTAAATATTAATACCTTGTAATCACATCATTTGCTTGCTCCAAAAAATGAACAAAAAAGTACTTTGGAAACAAAAATGTTAATCATTCTGTACCATGGCCTGTAGTCTAGATCATGGTACCACCACGGAATTTCTTTGTAAAGGACCTCTGGAGTTTTCTTTTGAACCATCATACCCTCCCCATTCTACTATTTTTAAATAAGCCATATGATTGGGAAATAAAATGATTTCTACATTCACACATGTGAACTTACAACAGTAATGTTAAATGCATAGAGCAGGTCAAAGGGCAGCGCAGCCACCAGATCCACGAAGAACCACGTGGTGGCATAATGCAGACAGATGGAGCGAGGCTCGTACACCACCTGCCCTGATTGACTCACATAGGTGGTGCGAAAGTTAAGAATGATGTCTGAAAGAGAAAGAAGATTAATGACATTTTCTTGGAAGTCTTATTTTATTTTATTTTTTTAATTATTATTTACTTTGAGTCTCTTTTGAGACATTTATACACTCATATATTACAGGAGGTAACTGAAGTTTTATGTGTTGATGATAAACCATCCGATTCTACAAGGTTACTTGAATGTTCTTTCAGTTCAGAGGCTTGCTTTCTTAGTAAACTCACCCAGAATAAAAAGCATTTCCACTGCGATGTCGCTAACTATCGTGCTCCTGCCTGCAGTCTCCAGATCACTGTACGCTGTGAAACACACATTGTACGGCACGGTCACAGCGACATAGAATGTAGCCAGTAGAATCATCCAATCCCACAACGCCTTGGACACACTATAATGCAGCAGGATGAATCGAGACTTCTGGACTGCTGCCACTTTGTACTCAGGCAGAGATGGTTTTTCAAACATGTCCTGAAGGAGAGAGGCATAGATTAAGGAATGAGAGCAAAAAAAATCAGAGATGCGTTCTCTTTTAATATCTCAACTTCTTCAAGGCACTAGTGAGATTTAATGAAGAGCAAATAAGGGGGTTTGCTAAAGCCTCCTGCTTCTCATATGTTTCTCATGAGAAAAATACTACTACAGTAATCTCACATCCGTTTCCTCTCATTAAGATTGACTCATTACGACTCATTAAGTTTGTTCATACCACATTAACTAAAGATACTTTACACTACACTACCAGCTGCATTTATTTAATCAAAAATACAGTAAAACAGCAATAATGTGAAATTTTATACCATTTAAAATAACTGTTTTTTTTATGTGAATGTATTTTAAAATGCAGTTTATTCCTGTAATGGCAAAGCATAAATGTTCTGAAATTACGGGAAAAAAAACAACAAAAAAACTGAGCCACCCATCTGACCAGAGCCCTTAGAACTGTCCCAACTCACATCCCGAATCTCGTACTGAATCTCTCTTCATATTTTACAACCACTCCCATAAGTCATATAAAGACAATTGACAGCCCAATCAATTCCTGATGAATAAAGTCAAGTTCTGCCCTAAATATCCTGTTCAAATGTCACAAAAATTACGTACTGGCATACTGTATTAGTAAAGTCTCAACTTTGAGACTTGTCTTTGATCATTGAAAGCAGTAGAGAAGAAGAACTGACAGAATAATGTGTTATTATTCAGTAAATAACAGGAAACTACATTTAATCTTTATCTGCAAGGACATCTCATGACAGATGATAAATATTGGTATTTCTTTAATTTGACTTTTACATCACAGAGGTGAAGGCATGGGTCAAGCTCATGGTTTTTGGTCATGATTGTTTGGGGCAGCAAATCATGTGGTTTCTAATCCTCCATGCTCTCATTTGCCACACTCTTCATTAAGATTAAAGAACAGACCCATGATGTCACTGAACACACATCAGAACCTTTAAGTACTGCCATCTTAAAAACAGGGGTGTGAATCTTCACTGATTTCACGATCCACTTCAATTACGATTATCATGTCAATGATTCGATTCAAATTAATATCACGATGCGTCACATTCTCAATTTTCAATATTACTGCACATGGCTACATTTTCATATAAATGTAATATCAAATTTATTTTGTGCAAATTTTACTTAATTTTTTTAAATTAAATTATATAAGCAGGCTACTTTTTAAAATAATTACTTATTTTAAAAATAAGTGTTCTTTAAGTAGGCTATCCGAAAGTTTACAGACAATCATAGTTTTCGGTAATGATTTTAGTAGTTTTTTTTAGTAATCATGGTTTTTCTTTTTTCCTCAGCATTATTGCTGTTTGATTGACAGTGGCAGCTGATGCAAAGTGCATTTAACCGCAGCCGTGATCGAGCTTCAGGACGTCAAACACAAAGCACACGTGAAAGTCTGTCAGTACGTGAGTTTCGTGCATCTTATACGTACTGCATTCCAAACGGCATAAATGAAAGCGTATCTAAAGTAAAATACTGACACTGTCAAGCAATGCGCACGTGTCTCACAGCACATATTCTGTGCAATGTAGCCCGCCGCGATTGTCTCTAGCGTGACACACGTGCCATATGCGGGGGAAAACCATGCTCAGAATCCATTCAGAATCATTGAAGAGAGAATCAAGATGCATCGGTGAATCGATTCTTTTCTCCCACCTCTAGATACTAGTCAGCTAATTTCAATTTACAGTAAATGACATTAGCACCAAAAATCACAGCTGTCCTCCCTTCTTCATTTGCTCGCTGGTAAGCTGTGTTACCTGGGTTGGTTAATTCAATAGCATTCGTGCACTGCATTAATGCTCCGGTGAAACTGATGTAGGCCTAGAGAGTGTGACGAAATCTGAACACAAGTGGTTAGAGGAGACACATTCAAAAAGCATGTTTACCAGCTGGAAACGATAAACGCATCTCAGCTGACAGGTTGATTGAATCGCCAAAAAATGCAATTTCATACCCTGGAAACAGGGCTTCTCTCACGCTTAATTTACAGTATAATTTATATCATTTGCATGCATCAGGGAGCCGCTAACAATATGCAAGAGAATCATGAAACTTCTGGGAGAGGTGGGATGTCTGTCATTGTCACATTTGAAATTTCTACAAAGAAAAAAAAAAACTTAGTTGAAGATATTTTCAGATCGTTATTACCGATGATTAGCATTGGCTGCTCACGGACAGTGACACTGGCGCTTTGACTCGGAGTAGCAATGTACTGGCAACATGTGCAGGGACGGATTAACACAAGGGGTATAGGCAGGACTGAAGCCCCAGGGCCCGAAGATGGAGGGGGCTATGGTTGGCTGTGGAGGAAAAGTGGACCTATTGACTGGCCATTGGGAGCACCCAAACAATTCCCAGTGACACCGAAACCCCACCACGGAACAATACTTATGTGTTTTATACGCAATGTAACTTGAATTGAGGTCACTGGTCTGCCTTAATGCTGAATAAATGTTCTGAACTCTTACTTTTCCACTTTATGTGGCTGAAGCTATCATAAGCATTTGAAATTATAAATATTTGTTTGCTCTATTTATATTGAACATCTAGCTGGCTGACATATACTTTAAAAGGCTTTGTCAAAATTGCAACAATGACTTGAAAAGCTTGATCTCATCACTAGGAAAGGCTGAATTTTATAATTTTTTAATGGGCTTTTTGCCTTATTTTATAGGACAGCAGACCGGAAAGGTAGGTGTGGGAGAGGGAGATGCCAAGGCGTTCCCAGGCCAGCCGAGTAAACCCTACAGCATGTCCTGGGTCTGCCCCGGGGTCTCTTCCCAGTTGGAACACCTCCACTGGAAGGTGTCTGGGAGGCATCCTGCCCAGATGCCCGAACCACCTCAGCTGGCTCCTTTCAATGCGAAGGAGCAGTGGCTCTACTCCGAGTCTCTCCTTGATGTCCAAACTTCGCACCCTGTCTCTCGGGGTCAGCCTAGACACTGTGCGGAGAAAACAAGGTTCTTGAACTCCTCTACTTGCGTAAACATCTCACTCCCTACCTGAAGCAGGCAATCCATGCTTTTCTGGCTGAGAACCATGGACTCAAGAGCTGACCCTCATTCCCGACACTCGGTCGCAAAGTAAATGCTGAAAGTCACAGCCCGATAAAGCCATTAGAACGACATCATCCGCAAAACAGCAGAGATGCCACCCTAAGACCCCCCATAAGCACAGCATCTCTAAAACAGTATGTCCTGAGCATGTGCATAGCCCTGAACCATCAAAAGTGTGAAATGTTTAAGAATTTACAGCTGTCTTGGAGTAACATTTTAGCTATAGAATTTACCGCTATTACAGTAAATTATGAATGATTAAAAATTACATATTTTTTTTTGTAATGGAGCAAGTGAAAATATGTGTAGGACACATTCAAATCTGAACTACTGAAAAAAAAAAAACTTTAAAGTTGTGCCCTGCTGTGATGCTCTTGTTTCCTATTTTTCTTTCAGTCAGTTGGAGTGTGATGGAGCGAAGGCAGGTGGCTCTGCTGCGAGTGAAGTTGTGCTGAAAACATGACCTTCTGTTTACAGGAGCGATCGGAAATGTGACCTGCCAATCTGGCCTCCTGTTCTGCCGTGGCCATGTGACATGGCGGATTAGACATTCTTTATACTTCTGGCCTGCACCTTTCACACTGTTTGAACATTTCCTGAATCAAATGGTCACCGGAAAATGGGATCCTGCACAGATCCTATGCTTTACAGTAACTGTAACTCACAATCCCATGATAAAAAAAGAAATGGTAATAGGTCATAGTGGACAGATTATTTCAGGAGGAAAAAAGAAAAGAACGGACAATTAGAACAAAATTATTAGAACTGAGGTTGTCTGGATATGAGGAAAGTAAATTTATTTTTAAGGATATAAAGCACTTCTAGTAACAAGCATGAAGAAGACAAGCATCACTATTACCATCGCTCTTTTGTAGTGTTGGTGATTTGAGCAAACCCCAGCAGTAACTGTGCAACTCATCCTACACCTAGAAAACCCTAACAACTACATATCAGTCAGCATCATGGCAGTGCATTGCACACATTCAAGAACAATAGAAACTTTTTGTCAAGTGTACTCTAAAACTGTGATACCGTAAATAACTTGATAATATAATTTTTGCTCTCAATGCATTGTAAAATTGTAAAATGTTACAAACAGGCTTCAATTTAATAAGCACTGACCAATGTCCTCTTTCTAGGAATTACAAATCAATAAAATGTAATTATACAGGCAATTGTTAACGTATAGCTTTTATTAGCAGTGTAATGAAACATCAGTCAAAGGATAGATGCATCACAGGACTACCGATATGACGTACTGATAAATCAAAAACATCTACATATGTTTTCATATATCCATATGGTCACAAGAAGATTTGTTTAAAAAGATGTCAAAATGTCCCTAAGATGCCATCAAATATTTGATAAGTTTTAAAAACTGTCCATGAGAAACCAAGGTTTCACTTTATTTTGATGGTCCCTTTTTAACACATTCTGTTGACCATAAGTAACGTTGCACCTACATGTCTACTAACTCTCATTAGAGTATTAGTAGAGTATTAGTAGACTGGTAGGGTTAGGGTTAGAATAAGTTGACATGTACTGTACTTGCAGAGTTACTTAGAGTCAGTAGAATGTCTGTTGGGAGACCATGACAATAAAGAGTTAGCAGATATTAAGCAAACAGTCTACTAATACTCTGATGAGAGTTAGTAGACATGTAGGTGCAACATTACTTATTGTCAACAGAATGTTCAAAAGGGACCATCAAAATAAAGAGTTACTGAAATTATTACTACAAAACATGTTTTAATGGACTTTTACAGTTTTAGTACATAGTTTATACATTTACTCACCCGGCTTAAGTTTACATCCTTTTTGCTGTCACGGGTAAACTGGCTGGTTAACTGGTAAATCATGGTATGACCCCTCCTTCTGGCTTTACTGAAATGAGAATTTCCGGTGGTCCTTTTGTATGGCTTATTATCTGCACAAAATGAAAATAGCATTAACAGCTTTGACAGTTTACAAATCATAAACATTTAAAATTGTCTAACTGTATGATTGCACCAGAGTGTCTGTGTGTTTTAACAGTTATGTGTTTTGTAGATGCAACTCCCAATGCCCGTGAAGACTACTGATTAAACTATCCCTTTACACCATTTGGCATGTGATGTTGGCTTTCACACTAAAATAGTTTAGCTTCTATCTAAAAGATATAATATTTTTCTGGAAGTTCCTCTTACTGCTCGGTCACTTAAAAAGTAAGGTTTCCCTAAGGGCTATATTTCAGTATATCTTACTGAATCTTCGTTCTATAGTACATGCGCGCTCAAGGCTCCAAACATGCTATTTCTTATCAAATGTCAACAACCAAAGGTAAGTGTTTTCTAGGCTATTTATTTTCCCAAATTGAAAAAAAACTAGTGAGACTAATGTTTTTAGTGTAGACAGTACCATCAGTTCTGCTGCTGTGTTGACTCTTGTCTTTTGCTTCTGTGATATCCTTGAATGAAAACAGAAAAAGCACCATCTCCCCCTTCTCATTCTTAATGGGCACGATGTCCAACAGACACCAGAAAGAACTTCCTGTGATAACACACCGAATAGAGTTGCAGAATTACACACAGACATAAAACAGTTACATCATAAAAATATCTACTTTCCGACTTTATCAATAAAAAATTTCACTACAGAAGAGTTACATTAGTAGTGGGGTGGTGATTTTGAAGCAATTAAACTTACAGCTTGTTCATTATTAATTAAGGTGATGTAACGAATCAGTCCACTGAAGGCGAGCGTAGTTAAGAACCCAAGTGCAGTTTATTTACAGTGTGATCCAAACATCCAAACAATAATCCGAGACCCAGCCTCTGTGGCCATGACAGGGCAGGCAGTGATTTCGGAAGCAGACGCCACCACCTCAGGAGGTTCTGCAGCGGATGCTACCACTTCTGGA